CCTGGCTTTTTGTTTTGGCTGTCCTATGGTGGCAGCAGGTCTTGTCATTATGTTCTCAGACACTCTCCTCTCCTGTTTCAGCCATCTCTTCACTTCCCTTGCTTTGCTGTTTGCACAACTGGGACTTTCTCATGCTTTTGTCCTCTTTGTCATGGGTCTCTGAGTTGCCCAGTACATGTCTGAAGGTTTTCTTTCTCTTTTTATTGCAATAGGGTGCCTCAGACAGGTTTTGCAGCACTAAATGAAATTGGGGAGAAGTTTCCTTCTATCCACTGGTACGCTCAGTGTTAAGTTTGCTTTCTTTATGAGAATTGACAATTTTCCATCTACAATAGAATTATTTTCTGGTCCTTATGGCTTTGTCTCAAATGCTTTTGGCGTTCATGATCTGTACTAAACTTGTATTTTTCATGTCAGTGAACTGCTTGGTGAGATGTTCTCATTTTCTAGCTTCCCTGTGCTCAGTTCTTTCTATGTCCATTCTTCTGACACCTTTTTAACCACACAGCAGCTAAACAATTGTTCTTTGGGCACTGGGAGTCAAGCAAAAAATGTTCACTCTTTCAGGCCAATTAAAGACTTTTTGTGTTCTTTCAAAAGTAGCAAGCACTGAAGAAGAGTGGATTCACAAAAATTGGTGTTATTTAGGCACATTAATTGACTATTATCCTAAAAACAAACTATTGTGTCTTCCAAGACACCTTATGTATTTCGTCTCCCTCTCTCCTGCTCCTGTGAGACTGATGGAGCAGACATGATTCATTGACTGAATCCTTTGATGTCAATGGGATGAAAGCCACAGCCAAATATGCCTATGAGCTTTCAAGATTACTTGGTGTATTTTCTGATTGCTTTAATAAGCAATCTACTGTAGCAAATCTACAGCTACCAAGATAATTTTAATATAACAACAGTGTTTCTCATAATTATATTGTGCCTAGATAAAAAATGTCTTCAGGATATTTCTGGAGGCTGCTCTTCTAAAATATTAATTTTGACTGATAATCTGATAGAAAAACATGTTTACCTATCATGCAGTCAGTTTGCTTCTTTTGTTAAACATGACTGTATAATCTAAGATCTGCCTTTCATTCAAAGAGCTTGAATTGCCTGAGAGGAAGTAACCAAGCTGGTAGTTTTACTCCAGAATGTCAGCACCTGAATGGCAGCATTAGCTCCCATGTTGGCTAACTCGTTGAGATGTGGCCAAATCTCAGATTTAGAGATGATATTTTTAAGGGCCTAGAGGTGTTTCATCTGCATGAGCAAATGAAGTTTGCTTCTCCCTGACTCATATCAGCTGTGTGGATTCTGCCTGTGTCACCTGTGTGACAGTGCTGTGGCAGGCGGGTGTCCCTGTAAGTGCCTATAGTGGTTCTGCAGAACCACACGGAGTAAAATGCAGTAAATGCATACTATGACTAGAAAATAAGCAGGTATCCATCTACTAAAGGATCACAGCACCTTCTGCATGAAAAGCATTGGTTACTGTGCAGTCACAGTTTAAAGAATAAGTGAACACTTTAGATGGTTTTCATTTATTAGCTTGTTCTGTCCAACATAGATATGAACATTGATTTTTGCTTCCCAGAAAAGAGGACTGCAGTGATTGCAAGTCTCCAGGTATTTTACATGTTTATTTAATTTTTTACAAATAACTACCTATAGCTTTGTGAACATTAAAATTAATCAATTTAGGTTTAATTGAACTGTGTTTCAAAATCACAACATATATTTTTACTCCTTAAGTAAATTTAAAAAAAAACAGAAAACATAACTGCTGAGACTATAATTGACCAGTATTTATCTTTTTAAGCACTTGTTGGTTATGTTCCAAGCTTAGCATCTACAACTGAATATTCAACAAAATAACAGCAAGATTTTCTTTCTAGACTACTACTTCAGTGCTCTAGGCATTTCAGCTGTTAGTAATCTAGCCAATACTCAGTCCTTAGTATGCTAGATCTGTGCCAGAAACTTTCCTTCACATAGGCAAATGTCTTTGACTTCAGTACAGTATTAAATAACTAATGTTGTGACAATCTTTCAGAAATGTCATCACTCCTGCTTGTCAAATGACTCTTCAGCACATTTACAAACCAGCTGATAGCAGCATGGCTTGTTCGGTCAGCTTAAATAGTGGCTCCAAAGTATAACTTCATTTACAGATCAGAAGAGATTTTAAATTTCTGTTAGGGTGATTTTGCAAACCATTAAAGAAGCTGCGAGGCACAGGGGTGCTCTCAGAAAAGAGGGGAGGAGCAGTGGATCCCATGCGATTCCCCCTGCAGCCCCTCCATGCCCCTGCCACGAGTGACAGTCCTCCACTGAGCTCCTCCTCAGAGAGGGCTTCTTCCAGTTAGGGAAATACACAGACATCCACACACTCTGCCTCTTCCTATTTATTAAAAAAATAATAATCTGAAAAGCCTTTCCTATCTGTATTGCTGTACAACAGCAAAATGGTATAACTGCCTTGTGGCTCTGATGTATAGTCAGATTGCAGATGCAATAGATTGGGCAGTAGATTTCCACTAACCCACTCCCATTTAAGCTCAGGTGACCAACTATTCTTTTTCATTAATATGTTGATCTTTTTCTTATGCAAACAACAGAAGATGGAATATGGGAAGAAATGAAGAGGTGGATGTGAAACTGAATTTTCTTTTTATCATCAGCTAATTCACCTTTTAAAACCTATGTACAATCTACAGTGTCTTTGAGTATGGACTTAAAGCATTGTGATGCCTGCCTCATATTTTGTCTGTTTGAATGTATTTATATTTAATCAGGGTACTGTGTATTTTTCCAGATACTACCTTGCCTGCAGCTATAGCAGCAGCCTTTTAGAAGAGTCTTTTAAATTGTAATTAAATAAAACAAATAGAAACATAAAAAGTGCAGAAACTGTTAATGGAGGATAAGAGCATTCAGGATGCAAGAGGTGCTATTTGTCTGTGTTGACCTCTAATAATTTGCATAAACCACCTGCCTTAGTTTATCCAACTGTTAAATTGTTATAAGGGCACATTTCCCCCCCAAGGGTTGTGGACAGAACTCATTAATGTTTCATAAACACTTTCAAATACTTATCTAAGATCATCCTATTCACAGAGGTTCACACTAATGAGATCGAGTAATGAAAGGTAAAAAACAAGTACTATTATAATATTACTTATTCACTTACAAACAAAAATACTTTGACAGAGTATAACCATTATGGCATCTTTACAATAGGGATTTTATAATATTTTTTTAATTTAAGCATTATTTCTAATTAAAATTGCATTAATTCTATAGCAATAACATTTTTTCCATTGACAAGACAATTTAAATTCTGACACTGATAGAGATTCTGTAATTAAATTCTTTATAACACAGATTTTCCTCTGATTTTTATCCATCTCCATGCACAGGGCTGCCAGTAGCTCCCCACAATGACTTGATGACCACACACAGCATCTGCAGTTTGTCCACTTCAGAATCATGGAGATTTTAAAGATTTGATACATTACTGAAGTTTTCCAAAGACCTATCTGCATATTCAAAGGTGAAGTCTCTTCCAGACAGATTCAAATATTTTTTGTAGGATACTCTCAACTTTTCTTGAAAATGATCTCTGAAGGTAGTATTTAGTGCCTTGTGGGGGAATGATCAGTCCTCCAAATCTGGGTATAAAGTGCAGGCTGAATATGCTCTGATAAGGTTTAAGGCTGCTCTGGTCAAAGTTGGTGGAATTATGGCAATCAGAATTTCATAAATACATGAAAAATATTATATACTGTTTTCCAGGGTTTTTTGTTTGTTTGTTAGCAGTCCTAGGACTGCCTAATAGATGTTAGTGTTGTTTACACAAGATTCCCCAAAGAAGTACCTTATGGATACAGGGATCTGTGCAAAGATTTCCTTTCTATTCTACACATATTTAAAGCCAGCTCTAAAGCAGGGTAGAAAAGGGAAGTCCTGCTTTGTAGGAATTAATATATTCTTAGTTGACTGCTCCTAGTGAAACACTTGAGAATGTGTGTTCCATGAGACAGAAAAGCTGAAATGTTAACAGTTAATTTTTTCAACATTGTAGAAACTAATTTGCAAGAAGATTTTAAATTCACAGTTCCAGTGAAATTAATAAGTTGCTGCTGAATATTTTGATTTATCTGAAACTGCTTCCAAGTGGAAAAATACAACAGCAATTGAAATACCGAATCCTGCTGTTGATTTTTGAGGCTATATGATTTTGAACCACTCTTCTTTAAAATACCTTTTTCAAGGAGGCTTGTATGGGTGCAGGTAACACACACAGCAGTGTAGAAGGACAGTTCAGCTTGGGCACATAGCCTTGTCCTCCAGCTGGGCCCTTCTGCCCCTGGCAGGGTGCCTAGGAAAGACAGCCTGTAAATGCAGGCACCCGATTTAGAGGCTGTAAGGCTCCTCTTTCACGTAAATAAAACACCATGGATTTTTCTCAACTTCACATAATCAGTTTTTACAATAGGAAGAAGATAATAAGGAAAGTAGCAGAGGATTTCATGTGGCAGAAAGAACGTTGTGATTACCCAGTAATGTTTCCTTCATTAAATGCTTGGGGAAAAAAAAATGTCTGTTTACAAAGGTAAACAGGATTTACTGGGCTACCATGTAGCCACAGGATATAAATACTTGAACAGAAAAAGACAAAAAATAAGTTTTAATTGTAGATGCTTGATGTGCACTGGAAGCAAGCAAATAAAGTTCAGCATGAAAACTTTATTTGCCAGGAATCTGTATGTGAATCACTGCTGAAAAGCTATAGTTTATCCAACTTGATTTATGAATCTGTTACATGTTAACCTGAAATAGCTTTTGAGGGTTCTGAAGGTAATAACTAACATGGATTTTGCTGCTTTATGAAAATTATTTAGGTCCTAAGGGTCTACGTGCTTTGCTACTGACCTACTGAATTCCATGGAATCTAAAAATCTGGGCCAGAGCTGGCTTTTTTTTTGTTGTTTTTTTTTTTTGTTTGTTTGTTTGTTTGTTTTGTTTGTTTTTTTTTGGAGAGGTTGAAGGCTGTGAATTTCTACTATGATGACCAGAAGAAAGCAACTGAACATGAGGGACACCTACAGACTTACAGACTGTGGAATATTAAAGATAAAACAACCCACTTCTGCCCAATCAGCTTTGTTGATACAGGTAAGTAACTTAGAGTGGGCTTTGCTTTCAAAACTTCTCCTTGTCTTGTCTCTAAAGTACATATGGCTTTTCCCATCTACACGGATAACTTTCTGAATTCTTATCTTCTAATGAAACACAGAAGCAAAATGTTCCTTTGCAAGTCTCATGGAAAGAAGCATTTCTTGCAAGCTTTCCATTTTGCCCAACACATTTTGAAGGTGAAGGTCTGCCAGTTGTATCAACAAGAAAACAGCATTGGGTTGTGTTAAACAGGAGTTAAATATATGATGTGCCTGTCCCAGAAACTATGATCACATTGTTGATCTTTGTAACACAACCATGGCACAATTGCAATGAAATGTACAGGCTTTGGCTACAGGAAGACCACAGCTCCCACTGACACCAGGAAATGGAAGTACCCTTAAGTATATGCAGACATTGATCCAGAGGCAGGAAAACACCCACCAGAGCAATTGAACCCTACTCGAATGAAGAGATGGGATGAGACAGGGAAGGGCCCTGACTTTGCCCACGGCACCCACAGAGCCTGAGCTCCCCAGTGAGCTGGAAGCTGCTGACCTCACAAAAAAGTGACAGCCACTCCTGTCACATCTCATCTTTGCAGCTCAAGGACCACAAGTAAAAAGCTCACTGGAGAGAAGATCTAGAGAGGATGTCTTCTGAGTGTTTGACAGAGCCTGGCCATTTCATTGCTGTTCTACCAATACACTATAGAGGATACTAATAAGGCCGTTGTAATTGAAACAAGAGTTTGGAACTCAGTTCTTCACAAAACCGGAGCCATATAGGCAAGATTTTGGTTTTATCTGACACATTGTATTCTCATTGTACCAGAATAGCACCAATGGATTTAGCTGTCCGGGGAAATATGGGACTGTTCAGCTTCTAGCATCGGTCACTGCTATTGTACACTGGTGGCTACACTGGTGACAGCCACCTTTACTGCAGGCTCTGAACCAGCAGGCACAGCTGGATGTGCTAGAGGAAGTTGGCCCCAGGTCTGTGCCCACTCCTTCCCTCTTCAAAATCCCCATATTGTGTCAAGTTCTTCTGAGATGATTATATCTTATTACCCTAAGCCCTCATTTTTGCTTAGTTGAAAAGAATCATTACACACCTGATGATTTGGAAGCTTCACTGTAACATTTCAAAATCCCACTCTTAATTAACAAAGGGGGAAACCCAGCACAGAACTACTTACTATGCCACTTTTTGCTGCCAGCAAATCCAAAAGGAGTCTTATTTGAAGCTTACAGACATAGCTTTGGACTTAGGACTGACTTTAAAATTAATCTGAAAAAAATATATAAGAAGAAATTAAAACTGATATCTCGCCTCAAATGAGAATACTGATGCTACTTCACACACACTTAGAAATGTGTGGGCTGAGTGTACAATGAACACTGAACGCATCCCTGGTTGTGTAACAGAATTAAATGAATAAAACAGAAAGTGTTTTCTCTCTGTGACACCCATTTTGCAAATCTTTTTAGAATCACCAGGTTCTTAAAGCACCTGCAGAGTCTCCAGGGCCCCAGACTGCTGGGGTTTCAAGCAGACCTCTTATAGACAACATCATTGAAAAGACTCTAAGTATGAGCCCATCCTGAAAACTACAATTTGCATTGAGCTGTTTCAGTTCTGATATTGCAGAACATCTTACACCTTGGGAAGGCGAGGGCATTATGAGCAAAAGGGCTGGTCCCAAGCTGCAGGCTGCATATGAATCAATGCTGATGGCAACTATTTGTCAAATGTGTTTTACACTTAACAACAAACAACATAATATCCAAAACTGCCTGTTTATAGCTCACTGATCTGAATTTATTTAGATAAATGTTTCCTATGATTCCTTTCAACATGGGAATCATGGCCTTTAGTGCAGTTCTTACCAAAGGAACCAGGCTCTTATTTCTCTCTAGCAGACTGAGTCCTCAGCTGTGTTAACTAGCAGATCCCTCCATTACCTTGTATTAATGCCTCCAAAATCCTGTCAGTGTGGTTACCTAAATCCAGTAAATGTGTACTAAATAGCAATGCTAACAATTTAACAATCTAGTTTCAAGCAGTAAGTTACAAAAGAAGTCATCTCTGCCTTTCATTAATTTTCCCCTTAATGGTCTCATTAGTTTTTGTAGTTGGGCACAGCAGTTAATGGCCTTAACAATAAATCCTGCAAAGTGAGATTTTAAAACTTCAAGGTAGATCTGTGCTACTGGTTTGTCTTGTTATTTTCTATGTTGACCTCTGCTACCTTCATTTAGGTCATTCTCCCCTAACTTTTAACTGTTTCAGAGTCTAACAAGTGATATCTAATTCTGAAATATTAAATCTGGACCACACATATGCCAAATGAGTGCTCCAGGCTCTACAAAATGATGTACCAAGACCTTCCAGGATTACAGTAGCTTAAAATCAGAAGTATTTGAAAACAGTGACAGTGAAAACATCGTTCCTTTTTATTTGTGTCTTGAACCTCTGAACTTTATTATTCAGGTCCTTCCAGCAGCCCTGTGAGGGCCAGAAAGCCCCTTTTAAAAAATAATAACACAAAGCCAACAGTTTTTATTTAATCATCTGACTTAGAGCACCTGTGAGCTTAAGGAAGAGCAAAAAGGAAAACAAAAGCCACAATCAGAGCTCAAGGCTGGTAGCAATGTGCCTGACACAAAGACCCTTCTCGTGACTTTGGGATCAGTGTACCACAATGCTAACCAGATTAGTGATAAAGATCATTGAATTCTGTATTTCCTAGCTCTTGACAGCTTTCCTATCTGATTCACTAGGGTGCTTACTGAGTCCAGGGGTGTTCAGCCAGTGTACAACTGGAGTAAAACAGCCATGAATCATGCCCTCAAAGTGCTCTTTACCGCAGCCGCTAACACTTTATAATGTTGTCTAGAAATCCAAAAGAGTGATTTAGTCAAACCACGGTTTCTATTTCATTTTTATTAAAGCTGGCTCTCTGCCTAAACTCTTGGCATTTTGAACAGTGAATATATTGCTTTATCCATAACATTTGTAACCTTCATTGATCCATTCAGGTAAAAGCACCGAGTAAAAGTCCTTTATTATTGATGTGGAAAATATTACTTCTCCATTGCTTTTTGTCCACAAACATCTGTCACTTTTCCCTGACAAATCTCCTTAAACCTTCTTTGTTCCAGGCCTAGAATTCCCATGCATGGTTATTTTGTTTTTTTCTATATAAATCATAGTATACTTTGGTTTGAAAGGGACTGTCCAAGGTCATCTGGTCTAACCCTGAGCAGGAACATCTCCAGGTTAACCTGACCTTGAAAGTTTCTCAGGATGGGATACCTGTCACCTCTGGGCAACCTGTGCCAGTGTCAATTGAACTTCAAGTGAGTAAATTGACACTGGTTCACAGCACTTACCCCACCCCTCAAATTTGAGTACAATAATTTTGCACAAACACAGTTTACTGTGGTCACTCATCTTCTCAGAACAAAGTGGTCTTTCCCTACAGCTTTGGGGACCCCTTGTCAGGGACCCTACTGCATTCACTGCTGCAGCACTACCCCAGGGCAAGCATCCTTCCTGAGAGCACAGCAGGTCTGCAGCCTGCTCCTCCCAGTGTGTGCATATTTTCCAGAGGAAAATAAATTGTCAGCATAGCTTGTTGAGCAGAGCTTTGTTTTCTGATTTTATCAACCCTGTTTTTATTGCCCCCTGCCCCTTCTCTCCTGGTACTACAGGAGCCAGGCTCCCCCCAGCAGTGGGGAGCCCAACACCTGCACCCCCCCCCCCCCCCAGAAGCTGTGGGTGTAATATAATGGCCAATGATTTTCTAATTTTTTTTCCCCTGCATGATGTCTCTAGTCTCTGTATCTGACAGTTCCAGCAGTGTAAGCAATAATTTTCCTACCTGTCACAAGTCCCATGACCCAGGTGCAGCCTGGGGAAGGTTGCTCTGTGCCTCTGCCCTGCCAGGGCTGCTATTCCAGCACCCTTTTTGCTCTTATGGCTTCTGAGGCAGAAGAAGCCTCCCAAGGTTTTCGGTCAGTGCATGGCTGTCATATTTCATTTTGCCTAATACACATCCAAGTGATACCTTTGACAAGTGCATTTCCCTATGCCATTTGTTGATTCCTCCTCTATAATTCCACCTGCTGGGACCCAAAGTGTCACCACATCAGTCACCAGGGCACAGAAAATTTCACTGGCTATCTTCTGTGTCTGTGTACAGTTGGGGTTTTTTTTACTTATTAGCATATCAAATTATTGTAGCTTATTATTTATGTATGTGTCTTTGGTGTGTAGGAGTATGCAGTCGCCATTTTTGTTATTTGTTCATTCCCATCTGGGCCACATGTTAACTTTGTGTATATTGGTTTGCATATTGAGGGTGAATACAGGTATTCATCCCCTCTACATGCATGCTGTGTGGGTCTGTGTGCATGCAAGCAGCTTACTGTATTCATCTCTTCTTCTTTGTGCAGCATGTTCCTGTCTGTGTTACACAAAGATGAGCCAATGCTGTGGTTTGTTCTGCACGCAGCACAGCTCTGTCTGCATGTTAATATTTCTCTGCACCCTGATGATTTAATCATGTATTAGGGAAGGGAGTCAGCACTGCTTCCCAGTGGAGAATATTTATTTTAAGTTTCCATTTTCAGAAATTATTTCAGGATGATTCTCCACCATTATGAAAGGGGAAAAAAGTAGTCCACTTGATGAAGCTATTTACTCATACTGGGAGCAGTATTATGCTCCTGCTGTACTAAAGAACATTTCTGGGTCCAGTGGGGATGGACCCACCTCCCCTGTTGATGGCATTGCAAAGTCAGGCTATCCCAAGCTTGTCATCATGGCTCCTTCTGTAGTCACTGAAAAAAACATACAGATGTATAGACTCCCTCTGTAAGACAACCCATCCTACAAGAGATGTCTAAAGCTGTGAGAGCACCACTGCCTAGGGACAGGTGTTTGTAGTAGCCCATTAAAACTTGCTGGGTTTTGCATTGCTTATGTAG